CGCGGCGACTCGGCCGCCTTGGCGTGCAGCTTGGCGGGGAAGGCGGGCGGCGAGGCGGCGGGCGGCGAGGGCGTGTGCGCCAGCGGCGAGAGCGGGATGCTGCCGGCCGAGCGGCACCGCGCCGCCCGGTACTGCCGCTGCAGCTTCGGCGACAGCCCCTGCAGCGAGCTCGGCCGCAGGTGCGGCCCCGCCGGCGACGGCGGAGCGCTGGAGCCCGGAGAGCTGCTGGGCGGGGAGGCGCCTGCGGGGAACGGGGACGGGAACGGGTCAGCGAGAGGGGAGCGGGAACGGGAACGGGCACCGGGACCGGGCACGGAGCACCGGGTGCCGGGACCGAGCATCAAGCACCGAGCACCGGGACCAAGCACCTGTCACCGAGCACCGGGACCGGGCACCGGGCACCGAACATCAGGACCGGGGAACGGAGATCGGGACCGGGCACTGGGACCTGGTTCCGGCACCGAGCACCGGGACGGGAACGGAGATCGGGACCGGGCACTGGGACCTGGTACCGGCACCGGGACCAAGCACCGGGCACCGAGCATCGCGCACCGGTACCGGGCACTGGGACCTGGTATCAGCACCGAGCACCGGGACCGGGACCGGGCACTGGGACCGGGAGCGAGCCCCGCGCCCCGTTCCCGTGACCACGCCCCGTTCCCGTGACCACGCCCCGTTCCCAAGCCCCGCCCCTTTCCTGTTACCGCCCGCCCCGTGGCCCCGCCCCCTCCCGTGGCCCCGCCCCTTACCGGGGTCGCGCGCCCGCGCGTGCGTGGGGGAGGCGGGCAGCGAGTCGGAGGAGGAGAGCGAGCGGCTCAGTGACGTCAGCGAGCGGCTCGTGTGCAGCAGCGAGGCCTGGCGCGCCAGGTGCCGGAACAGCGCGCTGCGCCGCCTGGCGGGCGGGAGGACCGTCACACCCCGCGCCCCCCCCGGTGCCCCCCGGTGCCCCCCGGTGCCCCGGGCCCACCTCTCGTGGCCGCTGCCGGTGCCTCCCCGGCGGTTCCTGCGGGCCATCTTGGCGCGGGCGCTGCGGCGCCGCGCGGGGCCCAGGCGGATCGAGGTGTTCTCCAGCGGCGTCGTTGTCACCAGCACCTTGGTCCCGCTCTGGGCGACACCGGGTCACGGGCGCGACCCCCGGCACCCCCCCACCCACCGGGGCTCGCCCGCTGCTCGGGGCTGAGCTGCCGTGAGCCGCGACCCCCCAAAGCTGTGACCCCCCGGTGTCCCCCCGGCGCCCCCCCGGTGTCCCCACCTTGAGGATGAGCTCCACCACCTCGGTGTGCACCAGCCCGTGCACCGGCTCGCCGTTCACGTGCGTGATCAGGTCCCCGGCGCACAGCCCGGCCTCCTGCGCGGGGCCGCCCTCCTCCACGTGCTGCCCCCCGAAAAACCGGGGTCACGCTCGGGGCACCCCCGAGGGACCCCCGGACCCCCCCCGTGCCCTCCATGTCCCTTTGTCCCCCGTGTCCCCGTGTCCCCGTGTCTCACCCGTGTGTCCCCCGTGTGTCCGTGTCCCCAGAGTCCCCGTGTCCCCGTGTCACCCTCCCTGTCCCCATGTCCCTGTGGTGTCCCGTCCCCGCCGTGTCCCCATGTCCCCCTGTGTGTCCCCAGTGTCCCTGTATCTCTCCTGCCCCCCGGTGCCCCCCCGGTGTCCCCACCTTGAGGATGAGCTCCACCACCTCGGTGTGCACCAGCCCGTGCACCGGCTCGCCGTTCACGTGCGTGATCAGGTCCCCGGCGCACAGCCCGGCCTCCTGCGCGGGGCCGCCCTCCTCCACGTGCTGCCCCCCGAAAAACCGGGGTCACGCTCGGGGCACCCCCGAGGGACCCCCGGACCCCCCCCGTGCCCTCCATGTCCCTGGCCGCGGCACCACAGCCCCCGGGACCCCCAGGCCCCCCGGAGACCCCACAGAACTCACCGGGAGACCCCCAAACCCACCGGGAGACCCCCAGACCCACAGGGAGACCCCCGGGCCCGGGGAGACCCCACAAACTCCCTTGGACACCCCCAGACCCACAGGGAGACCCTCAAACACACAGGGAGACCCCCAGGGAGACCCCCAGACCACCCTGGGACCGGGGAGACCCCACAAACCCCACCGGGAGACCCCAAAACCCCACCCGGAGACCCCCGGGACAGGGGACACCCCACCCGTGGGATTGGGGGTTCCGGCACCCACAGAACCCCCGGAGACCCCCCCAGCCCCCCTCCCAGTGGGGTCCCGGGGGGATTTGGGTTCCCTGGGGGGCTCCCGGGGTTGTTTGGGCTCCCGGGGGTCCCGGGGGGGTCCCGGGGGTCACGCACCGCTGGGGATGATGACGGACAGCGCGGTGGCGGACGCGGACTTGGTGACCTTCCCGGGGCCGCGGGCGCTGCGTTTGTCGCCGCCGGGCTCGGCGGGGGCGACCCCCGGGTGCCGCGGCCGCCGCAGCTCCGAGCGGGCGGGGGGCGGCCCTGGGGGGGGCACGGGCGGTGAAGAGACCGGGACAACCGGGACAGACCGGGAACACACCGGGACACACCGGGAACACAGCGGGACAGACCGGGGACCCCTCCCCACCCTCCCGGGGCACACCGGGGACCCCTCCCCACACACCGGGGACCCCTCCCCACCGCCCCGGGACGCACCCGGCTCCTCGGCGGCCCCGTCCGGGGCTCCGTCGCGGCCGCCGTTGCGGGGGCACGGCCGCTCCTCGGCGGCGCCCGCGGGGCGCGGCTCCAGCAGCGCCGAGAAGCGGCG